TTTTTTTTTTTTTTTTTTTTTTTTTTTTTTAAATATAAAAGATATTCAAATATAACAAAATTGAAAACAAAGAAATATAAAATATATTATCAAAATATTATTTGGAAATAAATTCAATAAATGTTTCTATAATCTTTTATTCGAACATTGTCAATTTAAATCTAGAAAAAAAAAGAAATCATGAACACAAATAAATAAATAATTAAATAAATAAATTAATAAATAAATAAAATACGTCAAAAATAACAAATGTATACGCAATAAAAAGAGTATAATAAAAACATACATATATATATATATATATATATATATAGGTGTGAAATAATTCATTCCTCATTAATATATGTATATATTATAAAAGTATAAGTAAAAATTACCAGAATTAATAAAAATCAAAGATCAATGTTCATTCACTGTGAAAATATTATTTTTATCTAATCTTTTTTACTTTTTTTTTCTTCTGAAAAAATAATAAGACAGATAAATGACAATATTAACAATAAATCACCGTTTTACAATGTTTATTAGAACAATTATTAATTAACGTGTGATTCAAATGAACAAAAACAAATTTAAATAACATTTTCTGATAACAATTACTATACTTGGTTGTTGTTTGTTGTTTGTTGTTGTTGTTTTTCTTTAGATGTATATTAAAATTACTTTCATTTCAATTCGTATGGTGTTAACTGACATATATGAGTTTTTATTATAATTTTTTTTCTAGTTTAGTATTGTTTTTTGTTTTTCCTATATAAGACCACTCTTATGGGAAAAAGTTTATCCGAGTGATTCGTTCAAATGAACAAAAACAAATGAAATATCATCATTTGATAACAATCATTATACTTGGTGGTTGTTTATTTTTGTTCTTTCGTTTTTGTTTTTGTTTGTTTGTTTAATTACTTTCATTTCAATTCGTATGGTGTTTTAACTGACATTTTTTTAGTTTTGTTTTTAATTGATTTTTCTATATAAGATTACTCCATGGTAAAAGCATATCTACAATTCTGTCTTTTAAACTTCGTCCAGTAATTCTTTTATGACACCATGGTAATATTATTATAAACAAAATTGCAATTATTATTATTATTAGTATAGTTGTGTTTYCTACAGTTGATTTAGAACCTATTGAACAATCCAACATATCTTCAGACGTCATATACATGGGATTACCAAAACATTCTAATTTTTCTAAATCCTTATACAATATTCTCTTTATTTTAATCAAATGAATTAATTCTTTAATATTGCAATCACATTTAAATGGATTACCACTTAACGTAAAATGATCCAATTGTTTGGAATAGAAGTAAGCAAATTCTTCCAATTTAAATTCTGTTATATTATTATTATGCAATTCTAATATCTAAAAAAAAAAAAAAAAAATAAATAAATAAAAAAACAAATGAAAACAGAAATTATCAAAATGTCTACGAGTCAATGAATTTTTCAAATAATAAATATCAAAAACTATAAAGTTATTATAGAATAATAAAAATAGCTACATTGTAGCTATTTAAAGTATTTCATTAAATATCTAATGATTTCAAAGACATGATGCATAATGATCATATTATTCAACGTAAATTACAAAATGTAATATGTAATATTGTTTAACTATTAGATCGAATCATAAGTAACTTCCGATGCGATTATGTAGAATCTATTTTTCGTATTTACCTATTACTAGGGGTGTCCCCGTCACGCGTTGCCAATACACAGGTCTTTAAATTTACGAATTACCTTATACCGCCATTTGTTAGAATTTTATCAAACTAAATTGAAATATAAATTGTCCTATCTTTCAAGTTGGATAAAACTGCACACAGTGTGGAAAATTTGATTAAAATCGGTTCAGTAGTTTAAGTGTCTATTGCGGACAAACAACGTAATAAGTAATTAAGTAACCGTAACAAACGGATTTTTGATATCACTGTATAGTTGAGAATTCAGTTTAGTCTTCTGTTAACTTTTTTATACAGTCAATGTTACATTTA